AATTTTAAACCCACTCCAACTTGGGTTGGGTTCTACTCCGGAGTGCTCCGGAGTAGGCTGCTCCATTAACAACCCTATCGGATATATATCGATTACTATCACAATCGATAGAACCCAACAGAGTGATTATTATCGATATATATCTACATAGATATTGATCGATATATATCAGCCTATATTTTTTGCTGATGTATTTAATTATTACTTTGTAGTTTCCTACTTTTAATCTGTAAATAATACTGTATAATACTATTAATTTTTGATTTTTCATTTTTAAATTAAATGTATTCAATTAAATTTATTGTTAAGCACTAAGATGATAAAAATTTTATCTTTATTAAAGATTGTATTAATTCATTATTGAATAATCAAGTTGAAGTATTCAAAAAATTTGAATTAATTCAACTTTCTTTTCTTCTTTAGGCTTTTAATCACTTTTTTTTTTTCTTAGACAAGATGGCATCTTGATAAAAATTGATCATTTCAGAAAGTATGCATATCGATAAAGATAATAACAATAATATGACAACTTCCTTTGACAAGAAATTTACGTTGTTTTGATATGCCTAAATAAAGATCGAGTTTTGATTGGCTACATTATGATAAATGAGTTGATTTAACATCTCAATAAATAATAACTCTCATTAATTCATGTTGATTTAACATCTAACAAAATATTTATTAATTAAATTATAGTTTCTACTGATAAGCGTTAAGTTTAAAATTAAAGGGATCATCTATGGAAAAGTCTTATACTCTGTTTAAGTCATTAACCAACCTCTATACTTTTTTATCATATTCTGTAAGATTTCTATTATCTACTTTTATAATTTGTGGTGGGGTAAGATTGGGAATTTAGGATGTTTTTCAAAAGGATAGGCCTTGGGCATGCCTGGGACAAAGCTATAATAGGAGAAAGCAGTGATTTTAGTACTTTAGATAACTGACTCCTATATCTCTTTTTATTAAATTTTGGTTTATAACTGTAATTAGGATACACTATATTATGAACTTTCTTTGCGTAATCAGCTAATACTTCGTAAACTTGTTTAACCTCATTACTTTCTTTTGACCAATTTTCGAATGCTTCTTTTAAAATAAATGAAACATTACTTGCATTATTATTTGCTGCACATGAAAGATTGCTTGTTGTATTATTAATTGCTGCACTCAAGTTCCTCTTGTATAGTACAAAACTATTTTGAGGTCTGGGATTTGCTGTCCTCTTTGATTTTTACTTGGTGCAATAAGTTGATGAAGAAGTACTTATAAAACAATTGTTTGTTTAATTTTTTCAAGTATTGGCTGATCGATATTATTAATAATATTGTTTAAGGTTTTTTGATGGTTTGTGATTTCGAAAGGAATATGAAAGGGCATTTTAAAAAAATTCAAGTTATGATATTTCAATGAATTAATATTTGTAATTAAGAAATAATCTAAGTTCCGTCTTTTTAATGATTAATCTTTATACATTTGAATCTAAACTAATAATACGAACAGTACAATAAAGTGTTAACTTATATAATTATGGCCAGAATTATATAATTAATCTATTAACAGTATGTATAGCTCTCTCCTTGACTTTCAATTGGGTTTGAATAGTAGATTTGATAAATATGGAAAAATATTTCTTTTATTTTTTTACAAATTATTTTAAATCAAAAATTATCTGCTTTTCTTTAAAATTCAGCTGAACCATATTTTAAACTAATAGAGACTTTTTTTAAAAAAACTAATCTTATAGTATAGCTTTCACATGATTTTGTGAACCCTGTATTATCTTGAAATACTTGCTTATTCAATAGAAATAATGCAGATTGACATTTGAAAAAAAATTTATGCCTAACTTTCATAGCTCATATCTCGATGGTTTGTAAAGCTATCTTGATGATTCAATATTCAAAAGAAAGCTTACGATCTAAGCTTTCTTTTGAATATTAAATCATCAAAATAGCCTCACAATCCATCGAGATATGAGCTATGAAATGTAGGTATAAATTTTTTCTCAAATGTTAATCTGCATTATTTCTATTGACTAGGGTTGGGGCACGAGACAAAAATTTGGGCATACCCTGCTCTGGGTCACCATGCCTCCACCTTACTATTGATGGCAGCCCATATGATTTCGCGTTTCCCAGATAGTACTCTGCAAAATCGAATCAAAATTTAAATTTAAATCGAATATTTAAAAATATTCGATCAATTTTTTAAAAAGTTCCTTATTCTATTGTTCATAATTAGAAGATAGATTTGGAATTTGCACTTTTTCCCAAAAAATAACAGATTCATCCAATCATAAGCCATCATGTTTTAAGAAAAACTTCAACTGATCTTTAAAAGAAATTCAAAACTGTAATGTTTATAATCAGAATTCTTATTTACCGTATAGCGATCACAAGCATAATTTATAAAAATTATATGATAGTAATATAATAAAACAATATTAAAACAATACATAGTATATATGTATTTAAAAAACTTCTATCTTGATGCTCTTCCCTTACTTGTGAAGTTTTCCTTGAAAATTTTTTAGCATTTAAAAATAGAAAAGGTGCTTTAAAAATTTTTATAATAAGAAAATATCAATTACCATTGACATCAAAATTGATATTTCATTTGTAAAAAAAGATGTAAGTACGTTAATATTTAAAAAGGACATGATGACATTCTCCTAAAATTAGGTAAAGTTTCATTGGAATGGTCTTCTACGAGATTATCTTGGAGAAGATAATTAATTCAAGATTCCACAAGATATCTTTTTGAATTGAGGTTTGGAATTAGTTTCAAATTCAATCTGTTTAAAATGGGATTCAGTGAAGCTTGAAGCTTCTATACAATGAATTTTTGAACAACTATTCCGCTTAGAGCAAGCTTTACTAAAAAAACAGCAACCTTCTGTATGCGAACTCTTTTGCCTAATTGAGAATTTTTATTACAAGCCTCTAAGTCATAATTCATAAGAGAATTTTGTTGTTGATTCGAATTATTGGAAACCTCATTTTGCACAATCTCACCATAAGCAATTTGTAGCTAAGAAAATCAATTAACCATTATTGTTTTTTCATGTAATTTAAAAACCGAATCCTTCAGGTCCTTACAGATCCTTTCAATTGGAATTTATCTTGTTAGCGTTATTATTTATTTTATTTTATATTTCATGTCATTTAATATATGTACTTATGAATGACAAATATTTGAAATGGCTAAATCTAAGAATAACTTTTAATAATCATTATATACACAACCCAAGTAACAAACATTATAAAATTTGAAGAATAAAAAGTCTAAATATCGGTTCAAAACACTAATATAAACAAGAATAGTGATAGATTGGTCTGTCATAGCTCATTACTATAGAATTGATTTAAGAGTATTAATTAGTCTGGTTCGTCCGTCTTTCTGTTCTAAAATCGGTCTTACGATCAATGATCTTTTGACAAGACTTATCTTTATCATTATATTTTTTTTATCATTTTAAGTTTCAAACACACACATTATAAATGCGAAATATTTTAAAATTATTAGCAGCCAAATCTATGATTGTTACATAAACTTATGTTAAATATTATTGTAAATGTACTGTACTTTTTCTTTGTGCGTAGCCAATAGCTATTTATTAAATTTTTTTCTGAAGTCTACTTTTTATGCACAGAATCACCTATGCAGATTCATAGTTTAATCTGTTCCATTTAGT